AAAAACTTAAAAACATCACCCTGAAACCACTTCATGTGATCAGAAAGTAAAAGTGAATTTCGATCGGTTCAGTACCTGACAACGCTTAGCAATAAATGAGAAGGAAAAATGTTGTGAACCATCTGATTTTAAATCACATTTTAAAAGCAAGGTCGAAACTGAAAATCTTAAGCTTCATTCTGAACTCTCTGTATGATTAATAGTTAGATTCTGACCTATATAAACAAGGATGTTTTTCCCCTCCTTTCAACTTTTTAAATTTCATTGAGAGATTTAAATACCGTAAGCTGGCAGCAGCTTTCTCCACAATGGGAAAGAAAGACAGCCTTCATGAGCAGGCACACGAGCAGGTGAATGAGAACGGGCTCTTTTTTAAACATGCACTTTCAGGCTCACTGCTGCAGTCCAGCAGGGACACAGAATCCATGTGCACTTCTTTCCACACACACCTCTTTTTTTTCCCCTTTAGCAGTGCGGGGGGTTGAACCCGGGGCCTGAAGTATGCAAGGCACTGAGCTGCATCCCCAGCCTCATTGGGATTTTATTATATAAACAGACGACGACGTACCTGACAGCATTCGACGACTGTTACATGTTTTGCTCTTATTTATAATTTATAATAACGAGATTAGGAAGGAGAAGATCAGGGAAAAGAAAATCAGGGAAGAAGAGATCATGGAGGAGAAGGCCAGGGAAAAGAAGGTTGGAAAAAGAAAAAAACATGTGAGTTCGAAAGCGACGACGGATGTAGTTGAAGCATCAAGTGAACACCTGTTACAGCTGCTAGAACAAATGACCACAAACTGTGGCTTAAAACAACACAGACTGACTCTCTTACGGAGACCAGAAAGCCTGAGTCAGTTTCACTGGTATGAAATCAAGGCCGGGGTACAGCTCCCTCTGAGGCTCCAGGGGACAATCCGTCAATCTGTGGCCCTGTCTCCCTCCTCCCCTGAGTTTCTGGCTTGGGGTCCCTTTCTTTGCCTCCAAAGCCAAAACTGCAGCCTCTTGCTTCACTCCTCACATCGCTGCCTTCTCTACTGTCAAATCTTCCTTTACAAACACATCTGTGATTCCATTTGGGGCCCACCTGACAGACTGGGCTAAGCTGCGGTGCCTAGGAGGATAGAGTTTGTTAAATGCACTTTTTGTATGCATGGCGCTGGGATTGAACCCCTGGAGCCTTGCTCATGCTAGACTTGCACTCAACCACTGAGCCACATCCTCAGCCCCTAACTCACTTTTTGGGGGGGTACTGGGGATGGAACTCAGGCGCACTCACCCACTGAGCCACATCCCCAGCCCTATTTTGTATTTTATTTAGAGACAGGGTCTCACTGGGTTGCTTAGTGCCTTGCTTTTGCTAAGGCTGGCTTTGAATTCACCATCCTCCTTCTCAGCCTCCCCAGCCACTGGGATTACAGGTGTGCACCACCATGTCCGGCCTAAACTCACTTTTTTTAAAAAAAATGTGGTGATGAGGATTGAACTCAGTACCTTACATGTGATAGGCAAGCACTCTACCACTGAGCTGCAACCCCAGCCCCCTAAACTCACTTTTGATTTAAGATGTCTTCAACATAATGGGTTCATTTGGATGTAATGCCAATGTAAATTAAGGAACCTCTGTATCACATTATATAGCAAAGGGGTTTTTGCATGTGTGCTTAGGGGTCTCGACTTGAGGAAATTAGCATGGGTTATTTATGAATTATTTTATAGGGTAATGCAATCCTTTTTGTCTAACATAAAAAACTAGTTAATTTTTTAAATTGTGTAAATTTTGGATCTAAGTTCCCATTTTGTAAATGTTTCTTCATGCCCCTTCAAATAAATTAATGTTTGAATGATAAAAAGTTTTTTTAAAAGGGAGTAAGGGAATTGGGGGTGTGGCTCAGTGGTAAAGCACTTGCCTAGCCTAGCATGTGCAAGGCCCTGGGTTCAATTCCCAGCACTGCCAAAAAAAATAATAATAATAATGTATAAGCTTGCAAGCCACACACACACACACACACACACACACACACACACTTACTTTTAAAATTTTCCATTGATATGGTCAAAAGAAGAATCCATTTAAGTTTATACATCATTTAGGAGAAATATCATCTGAGAATGGATAGTTCATACTGGATGATATCTGGCCTGAACGAGTGAGTTCATTTCCACCAACACTCTTTGATTTCTACTATTCAATTTTCTATGCTTTTCCTCTGTAAAGCTGAATCCTTTTTAAAAATTCTAGGCAGCACTGTCTTTTCTGGGGTTGATCCTTCTTTTAGTGAATATTTAGGGAATAAAACCTTCCCATATCTTGTCATCAGAATCACCCAATGAAAGGAACACATCCATGCTCTCTGCCAGCTCAGACAGAGCCAGAAGGAGCCATGTTTCACACCTGGAGGGGGCTGTCGATCCCAGAACAGCCCCGTGGTTTCCACTGAATGGGGCAGATAATGAAGGACCTCTCACTTCCAGGAATCTTCCTTAGTACATTTTCCCGAACAATAAATAAAATCAACTCCTGGCTTCCCTGTCAGATGCAAGCACCGCCCGATGGTTCCAGCACACCATCTTGATGCACCAGCAGCCCACTGGAAGCACACCACACCCTCCTCGTGTTCTCACCTCCCACTCCCTTCTGAGGGATGAAACACTAAAGAAAGTGAACAAGTGGGTAAGCCAATTTAAGAAATTGTGGGTGAAGTCTGAAACCTGTGTGGGGATACAAAATCTCCCAAGCTTCCAGACCACAAGCCCATGGAATAGTTTGCTCTCACATGAACAGGCCTGGCCCAGAGGACTTCTGCTCATCAGTTTACACTTAACTATATCGTCAACTGTACCATCAGTTCTCCTTCCCCATGCGTACTCGCATATCTCAGTTTTTAGGAAAGAGGTGGACATTACTTTGCAAAGTAATTGAATTCCAGGAAGATTTGCTTGTAAATTATATTTTTATAGATAAGAGCATAGCTGAAATAAACCATTAACCCTAACAATCTACAAAAATCTTACATAGAATTTAAACAATCACCAATAAGTACTGTCATCTCTTGCTACCCTTGGGGGATTGGTTCCAGGACACCACCCCCCCCAAGGAATACCACAATCTGCAGATGGTCAAGTCCCTTATATAAAATGGTGCCATCTTCCCATATAACCCACGCATATCCTCCCATATACTTTAAATCAACACCAAACTTTTTATGATATTCAGCATTTTGCAAATGCTGTATAAATAGCCATTATAGAGTTTTGTTTAAGGAACAATGAAAATTTTAAAATTCTGTATGTGTGCCATACTAATGCAATTTTTTTCTCCCAATATTTTCAATTCCAAATTGGCTGAACCCATGGTTGCAGAAACTATAGGTATGGAGAGGCAACAGTGTTTAAACAGGTCTAGCTGGTGCTTTGTAATCTGCTCTCTGAAAATACATCTATATTTGTCTACTTCTTTATTATCTGTTTCCGACACCAGAATGAAAGCTCACACCTCAGGGACACATCTGTCTTTTCCTCTGCTTTATACACTGTCTAGAACATAATAGCAGCTCAATAAATGTTAGTGAATGAATAAAAATGCACCATCAACTGTCTGTACATTTTTTTCCTCCCTCCATAAAGCCACCTGGGAATATCTCTCATCATAAAATCTTGTGCTGCTTTTCCCTGACTCACTATACCATTGTTTTAAGGCGATTAAGCAGCAGTTCACTAGCAAATTGCCTGAAAGATATTCCCAGGAGTCTGGTTTGCTTATGTCATCAAACTTATTCCTTGGAGTTCTCACATTATTCCCTTGATACAAATCTAAAACATTCACCAGAAATGAGTTTGGACTAACTGATGACTCTTGGAAGTTTTTACGTTAGTTACAATGTTACCCAGAACCAATAGCTACTCTGACATGGAATGAGTTTCCCTCACTTGTGCATCAGCAGTGCACAGAAGTGCTGAGCCAAGCTTGTCATTCTTGACAGCAGAGCCCAAGAGGGATTGTCCTAAGATACGGTTGGCCTGGAAAGGGAATTAGACAATCTTAGCCTATGGCTTTCATCCTCTGTCTGCCTGCACAGTGGTTCACAGGAGCAGCTCTGACAGATGAGGGCTCACAGAACAGGCGTTTATGTACCTAACCTGCTTATAAGCACGACACTTCTTCCTGTCATCAATGATTCTCCTGCCCCCAATCTAGGAAGTGATTTCTAGACTTACTGGATTATGAGAATCATCTAATTATTTTAAAATGCAGCTTCAAAAGAACTTACTGAAATGATCACAGCAGCGTAAAAATACATGCTGAACCTCCTGAAAATCATGCAATGCAATAAGGAATACAACAATGAAACACAAAAACAGCTGGTTTGCACACCAATGCTCACAGCAGCATGATCCACAATACCCCCCAAAATGGGAACAACTCAAGTAGCCAGAAACACACAAACAGATACACAAAATGTGGCTTGTACATATAATGGAAGCTTATTCAGCCTTAAAAAGAAAGGCCATTCTGATACAGGCAACAGCATGGATAAACTTTAAAGGCATTTTACTAAATGACATTATCATTTTTTGTCCATACAAACCTCGCCTCTTGGTTATTCCCTTTTCATCTTTATATTCTCTCCCATTCTATTTAACTCCTACTATACACACTCGTGTTTAATGATATTTTTGTTGGGATGTGTTCTTATGAAAGGTGCATCTATTTTTAATTAAATGGTAGAGTGTCATATATTCCTTTCTTCTTTTACTAGACATTTACGGTCTTAAAATGTATCTATAGGCTGCAAGTATATGTAATCTGCTATTGCAAGTGCTAGATAGTAGCAAAGAGTGTGCATCCACCACATCCTGCCACTCACTCAAACAAGCATCCAGTGATGAACACAGTCGATACAGGTCCTCATCACTATGTCAAAAAAAAAAAAAAAAAAGCAAACATTCCTTTCTGTGTCCTTAGATTAAATACATAGTGCCAGGTTGTTCTCCAAAGTGGCTGCAGCAGTCCACACTCCCACCAGCGATACAGTCCTATTCCCAAGGAGCATGACTGAAGAAGCATGGAACTGGAAGAAGACTGTTGAGGTCACTGAGTCCAGTCTGCTCATTTTCAGACAAGGAAACTGAAGACCAGGGGCTGGGGGTGTAGCTCAGTAGGAAGGCACTTGCCTGGCATGCATAAGACCCAGGATTCCATCCTCAGCACTGCAAAATAATAATAATAATAAAAAAATCTTAGGAAAGTGACTTGCTCATAGGAAGCAGATCTTGGGCTCCCTTTGTAGCAGCAGCAACCTCACCACATGCTAAGCACACATTCAACAAAGTGTGCTAAATTTATGTTTGAACAAAGAACAAGGGGGTATTTTCACTAGGTACATTCTAGATGTGCATCTGCAACAGGCATTGTGCACCAAGTATTTGCTCCCACCACCATTCACATGTGATGGTATTGGGAAGTGGACTGCCAGGAGGTGGTTAGGTTTACATGAGGTCATGGGGGCCTCCCTGATTCAATTAGTGCCTTATAAGAAGAGATGTGATGCGTCTCTCTGTCTCTGTCTCTCTCCAAGCTGGGGAAGAAGCTCTCGCCAGGAACTGAATTGGCCGGCACCCTGATCTTGTGCTTCTGGCCTCCAGAACTGTGAGAAACAACTGTCTGTGGTTTCAGCCCCACTTCAGTATTGTATTTTAGCAGGCAGAGCCAACCAAGACAGAAGGTTCATCCAAAGAAAGATTTCTAAAAGTGGGTGAAGCAAAAATATGGTGTAGAGTGTGTCATGGAGAAAAACCTTTTAAAAACATTTTGCTGTGAAAATTTTTAAAAATTCATGAAATGAGAGAATTCAATGAATCCCATGTACCCACGGCCAACTCTAAATAATTACCAACATTCTGCCATCTTATTACTGTGTTTCCCCTCATTTTTTTCCTTTTGCTTTGGTTTGATTTGATAGAATATCTTAAAAGTGAAATCAAGACATTGTATCATTTTGCCTATAAATATTTCCACAAGTAGCTGTAAGAGATGGAGCCTTTTTAAACATTAACAACAGTAACATTGATGCCCGTAAGATTAACCACAAGCCTTTAAGTACCGCAATGACTAGCCAGGAGAAATGACTTCATGAGAATAGACACTAATGGATCAAGTTCTCAAGTGACCATCTTTCAAAAAGGCTAACAATTAAAAAGAAAAGAATTTCAAAACTGAAAAATGCAATCTCATTTTTATTGGTATTTCTCTGCAAATACAAATCTGGGTGCTCGAATTCCAGAAAAGGATAAAAATAGGCTATGAATCAAAACTGTTGATCATATCCTGTTATTTTTAGTTATCTGTTTCTTCCTGATATTTTAACTCAGCATCGGTTTAATAATTTTTTTCAGAGAAAAATGTTTCATATCAGTCATGAAAAAAAAAATTGACAGGATAAATTTAAAACTAAGGGGGCGGGGGCATCAGAACCTGAATCCATGCCTTTCCATGAGATGCTTAATCACCCATAAAGTCCTGTGTTAACAGCCTATCCTGTGACTCAGTCATCTGCCACAGTACAGAGCACCCTCAAAAAACAAACCTCACACCTATAAATGCAAAAGTTGCAAAGCATAATTGACAGTTGAGCAACAGGTCACAGTACCCTCCGTACTAAAAGCAGACACTAACAACAGAAATTTGAGAAAACTTTAGCTTGTAAAACATTTAGTTTTAGAATGTGCTTTGAATCAAAGTAAAGTACCAATGTTTTTATTTCCACTGAATGTTTAGAAAGACTCTTCTATATACAACAGATACTCAATAATATTTGCTGATTCGATTTAATGTTTGAACCAACATTTTCCAACATAGCAACCATTAAATTCCTAATTACACAAAATGCAATGAATACTTATTATCACACATCTCCAAATTGTGTGAGAGGGGACACCCACTGTTCCTATTCCACCACCATTCCCAGTTTCCATGGAAGCCAGAGGACTGCCCACAGGATAGGTGAGGTACCTATCAACACTTTCTCTTTGCACATCAGTAAAGGAATGATAGTTCTGGATGAACAGTATGCTTGATAAATTATCTACCAGGCAAATTTTTTTATTTTTTTGAGTACCAGGGATTGAGATCAAGGGCACTTAACCACTGAGCCACATACCCAGCCCTATTTGTATTTTATTTAAAGACAGGGTCTCACTGAGTTGCTTAGAACCTCACTTTTGCTGAGGCTGACTTTGAACTCACAATCCTTCTGCCTCAGGCTCAGGAGCCACTGGGATTACAGGCGTGCACCACCACACCCAGCTTCTGCCAAGCAATTATATTTCACCCTTTCCTGGCCTGGAATTCCGCAGGCCCAAGTAGTTTATGCTATCCTGTCTGTGTCTGATCACACACCAGCTTGTAAACAAGCACATTCCATCAGCACACTAATTTTTCTACCAGCCCAACTTCATTCCCAAAGCATCAGCATGCATAAAGCATCACTCGGCCCTCTCCACAGAGCCTTACGCTGCATTTTGCAAGCAGATGACATGGGCAAATAAATTCATATTATCCACAGGCAAAAATCAAACAAATAAGAGATTGACTCAGCTTTCCCTATGTCACCTTTGTGAACAGGGACAGTACCTTTGGAATGTTTGCACATCGGAATCTCATGAACAATGGTTTGAAAAGACAAGATCTAAGGACCACCCCACACCCTTATCAGAAATTCTGGAGGGTGGGGTCAATGAACCCATTTTTTCTTTTTTCCCAGAGAGCTGACAAATAAAGGCACATCCCTCCATAGTGGAGAGAGGCAGAACCCATCATCTTAACAGTTCCTCAGATGCCATTTCTTTCAGCAAGGTAGAGGATCCCTGCCGGGCAGACTAGGAACAGCTCTCTAGGTAGAGAGATTCTACATGTATGTTTGATCATTCATATAACAAATGAGGCAAAACTGGAAACTACAACTCAATCAACCCAGACCCTGCCCCAGGTCTGTGGATCTATGTAGCTTCTAAGCAGCACGAACCTCATGTCATCTAGGCAGGGTGGATCCTGGCTCCACTCCACCCCTGAGCAGCCAGGAATGACCCCACTCTGCCGAGAAATGGTGATTAAAAGAACTTCGCCTTGTTTATCCCTTGACTTGTAAAGAGACTGAAATCATAGCCCTAGCCCCACAGAAATGTTTCCTGGCACTAATACACTGTTAAAATAATTAATCAGAAGGCCATTAGCTGAGAAAGCTCCAGCACCTTGAGTTCCTGCATAAGCAAGCTGAAGCCCAATTCAACATAAATAGGAAAATGAAATTAAGCTCAGAAAATGAAACTTAAGCTCAGTTGATTGGAAGACACTGACTCTAGCTAGAGACTTTGCCAAGCAACCTCTTCCACGTTAATGGAACATTTTCTTGGTTTTGCTTGCTCGAATGGCTTATGGAAGTTTTCCCCTGGTGCACCTCTGTGGAGCGCGGGGCCGACTGCAGTCTGGTGCCGCCTGACTCACGAATCACTGAATGCTCAAATAAACTTGTTAAAATTTTAATGTGCCTGTTTATCTTTTAACAGTAGTAACTAAAGTAAAAATAGACCTACCAGATGATTCAGCTGTCCTACTTCTAGGTGTATGACCAAAGCAAACGAAAGCAGCACATCAGACTCCTGCACTTCCGTGGTTGCAGAGGCACTGTTCACGTTGGCCAAGATGTGCAATTGACCTAGGCGCCCCCGACACAACGTAATGTCGTTCATCCTTAAGAAAGAAATCCTGCAAAAAAATTAAAAATATATTTTAAAAAAGAATGAAATCCTGTCCTTTGCAGCAAAAAGGATGGACCTAGAAGACACTGTGTTAAGTAAACCGAGCCAGAAACAGAAAGGTAAATACTGCATGTTCTCTCTCATGTGGAAGCAAAAGAAAGTTGAGTGGAACAGAGACTAGTGGCCACCAGAAGCTGGGAAGGGTTCTGGGGCATGAAAGGAGGTCAGATGATGGGTACCAAGACACAGTTAGAAGGAACAAGTAGTGGGGTTCTGAAGGCAAACAGATTGAGGTAGGAACTCAGGGGTACAAGGAGGGCAAGGAGTCTCAAGAGAGAAGTGCCCACAAGCCATGAGAATGCAGAACAAAGGTGAGCAACCAGCCATGTCCTTGCATCTTGCCTACAGCTTGTCAGTTGGCTGAAGAAACAAGAGAGCCATAAGATGACCACAAGGCATCTGGAGAATACACTGCCACAGGGTCTGGTGACGACTTTGGTGACAGGGAAATGCCCTAGCCTCATTACAACAGTAAGACTCAGCCCTGGGTGGAGACTGAAGGCGTCGATGGGCACGCAACCTAGGAAGCAGCCCGATCCACACAGACAGGGCATGGGCAGGTGCAAGGAAAACGGCGCGGAATTGCGTAACGCCGCCCGCCTCACTCCAGCGCAGCCCCCTGCTGCTGCTCCCTATATGGGCGTCCAGCCCCAGACCAAGGTGAGGCGACCCACTTCCTCTCAAGATCACCTGCACTCCATTCTCAAGTGTGTGCTGTTCCTTTATTAAGAAATCTCCTGCTTTGCCCCTCGTGCCTAATGCATCTTAGATTCCTTTCTGTAACATGGACAAGAACCTGGAAGGTCACAGTAGAGGCCTCCTCCGCGGTTGGAGAGCTGCTTGGACCCCCACGTGGTGACAAGATGATTGTAGTTCACAATAACTGATTAGGTATTTTATGAATGACCTAGAAGAAAAGAGCTCAGAGGCTGCAAATAAACAACCAAGAGAGGGAAATGAGCATTCCACTAATTGACCAGTACGTGCTGTATCCACATGTTGAAATATCACACTGAGCAACCTTCAGATGTGCAATTAATACTTGTTAATAAAAAATGTTCTAATTAAAACAATAGTCACTACTTATTTGACTACTGCATACTTTGTTATAGGCAGAGTAAAGGATTAAAAATGATAACAAGGTTTGATATACTTTACATTCAATGACGGAAAAACAAAAAGATGTACCCTATCCTGTGCTAGGAATTTGGTCCAAATCACTTCATCACTCTTCAAAGCAATTCTGTAAGGAGGAAATGAAGAAAAGGAGGCTCAGAAGTGAGAGCCAACTAAAGGTGGCAGAATTTGGATTCGAGCTTTCTTTCTGACTTGGGAATCCCAACTATTGCCACTAACCTACTCTGCAGGTGCAGTGGAGGTTACTGTCCCTCCATTCAGCATCCACTCAGGGAGTATGTGACACACACTGGCCATGCCCCAGGTGCTCGCACAGACAGAGAGCACACACAGCTTCGGCTTTCACTGGGAAGTCAGAAACCCAATAGTGAGAGCAACGAGCACGCTGGAGGAGAGCCGCAGGACGTTTCAGATGGAAGCCGGTCACCAGCAACTCACTTGGGCCTGTCAAGGAGGAAATTCCCTGAATACTTGTTAAAGATGGTGAGGCAGGCCATGGGGTAGGTACGGGGACCCTTGCAATGTCAAACAGCATGGGGGAGAGAGACTAGACTCCATTCAGATGCCAACAGGGAAGAGTGCAGACTCCTAACCAAGGATCAAGGGCGGGAGGGCAGCAGATGGAAACTGACCGAGAGGAAACATCAAGGAAAGGGGGATTTCTGCTGAACCACCTTGATAGGACCCCTGAGCTGCCGAAGGCAGGCCAAGGGGACAAGATATGGTGGTCATATATCCAAGAGGGAGGGGCTTTGCTAAACTGAGAGGGATTCTTGCTCAAATTGATTTTACAAGACAGAGAGGGAAGCCCAAGGTCAAGTCTATTCAAGCAGTGGACGCAGAACTTGACCAAAGTTTTGGTGAAAGAAAACAGTCAGCTAAGTCTAAGGATTCAGGGGGTAGTTGTATTGTAAAGCCAGCATCCTTCAACATAAGGATCGCCATACCAATTAGAGATTTTATGGGGGTTAAGAGATATGGCGTATAGAAAGCACAGAACAAAGAAAAAGCAAGCAGTCGATAAACATTAGCTATCAATTATTAAAATATTAATATTAAAGAAGTATTAAATGAAAATAGGCCAATCAAATATCAGTCCTGAAGAAAATTCAAGGTGGAAAAGAGCAAGAGCGGCAAAGCCAAGAGCACAGCAAAGGCTCAGAGGCCGCAGACAAGGCCTCACATGATTTGGTTTTAGGGTTCACCCACACCCAGGCTGGCAGACACTCCAGGCCTTTGAGCAAAAATCCCTGTCGTTATTTAGAGGTAACTGAAATACATTTAAGACAAGAAAGAACCTTTCTGGGTTTGAATTTTAAGATTATCCTAAGGGAGGGTAGAGAGAATTTCCGTTTTTACTTCGTGTTTGTGTGTGTGTGTGTGTTTTGTGTGTGTGTGTGTGTGTGTGAGAGAGAGAGAGAGAGAGAGAGCACAGCTTCTATAATTTAAAAATAATACACTTACTGATGGATATTATCATTTTGATTGTGTTAGTTTCACAGTTGTACACATGTGTCAAAATCTATCAACTCTATCTATCAACTCAAAATCTATCAACTCAAAATCTATCAACAAGTTGTACACTTTAAACATATGCAGCCTATGGAACATCAAATATACCTCAATAAGTCCATTAAACATGATAAAATTATAAGAAGAAAGTCACTTTGATAGAGATAAAGGTAAAGACAGGAAGACAATCAAGCAGCCACCCAAACAGTTAACTTGGATGACAGACCTTGGTGACCTGGAGTAAAACGGTGGCAACTGGAATGGAAACAAGGACTTGAGAAGCTACAGGATCCGGAGGCTGCTCAGGGAGCGCGGAGCCAGGGTTTTCCAGATTGCTGTCTGGAGTCACCTGGGTAGAGGACAGCACTGCAGGCTGAGTTCCCCGTGGGACAGAGGGAACTTCACAGTGCTCTGAGGTCCAAGGGGAGAGAGGGAAGCAGTGTGACACAGAAGCGGGTATGGGATGCTGTCCCAGGAAGGTCTCGGCCCACCCCACGTGGAGCTCTGAAACCCTTCAGAATGTTCCTCAGAGGGGTGAGAGCCCGGCAGCCTCACTCCCACACAGATCAGTCTCTGTTCAGAGCATGCCTCTGGGGGCAGCCGTGACCTTGGGCAGCCGTCTTTGGCTGAGGCTGTCTCCAGAGGTGCCCCAGCTGAGGGCCATTCCTAGTAACATCAGCCACTCCTTCACAGAGGGACATCTACCTGGGCAGCACAGCAGTGTCCCACCCCTGAGACAGGAACACTGATTCTCAGGTTGCATGGTTCAGGTTCTAAAGGTGCCAGCCAGGCTCTGTGCTACTGTGCTAGTGTCTGAGACCTACGGAGGTGCTTCAGAAACCTGACGTCGCAAGAATAACTCTTCAGTTTCTTAAAATGGTAGAGAGGAGGTTTCTGCAGATGTAAAAAAGGACATGAGGAAGACGGCCCTGCTTTCTCCTGTCCACCTTGATGGCAGCAATCCACCTTACCAGTCCTCTCACTACCAGCAGAGCCTGTGACCAGAGCGGTGCTGGTGTCAGCAAACATTCTCCTCACTGCACAGGAATAAGCACCCCACCCAGGAGCCCGGTGTCTCCTGCCGCTCACCCAGCACCAATGCCCCAGGCCAGGCTTGGTTAATACCTGCTGGGAAAAAGCCCACCAAGGAACAGTACAACCCAAGCTGCATTTCCTGTGTGATAGCAGCAGAACTCACAAATTCTACCCAGCCTACATGAAGCCCACTTTCAGTCTACCCAAAGGCTCCTCTCACCCTCGGCATTAAATACAGACTCAGTAGCAGACATTTTGGAGTCTGGTTTCTGATTACTTTGATATTTTGCTTTTTATCCCTTTCTCCCTCTTCTCTCTCACTAAGTCGCTTTGGCTTTCTGGGGGTCTTACACAGGATGCTTCCTCTGTTGGAAATTCTTCACCCCCCTGTATGTGAAAAGCAACTGTCTTCCTTCCCCCAGTGCTGCCCTCCCACGCCCTGCGGTACCTGCACGCCCACGCCCACATGTGTGTACCTAATGCCTATTAAATTATTACCGTTCCTCTCCCTGACCACCGTCCCCCCATGAAGGTCTGGGTTAGGGGCTTTCCTTTGAGCTTAGTTGATAAGTTTTCAACTTGTGATGGTTAATTTTATATAACCACCTGGATGGGCTATGGCCTCCAGATATTTGATCAAACATCATTCGGGATGGGCGTAGTGGCGCACATCTATGATCCCAAAGGCTCCAGAGGCTGAGGCAGGAGGATCATAAATTCAAGGCCAGCCCCAGCAACTTAGCCCGCCCCTAAGCAACTTAGCAAGACTCTGTCACAAAACAAAAAATAGAAAGGGCTGGGGATGTGGCTTGGCACAGTGTTTAAGCACTCCTGAGTTCCATCCCTGGTGCCAAAAACCAAAAATTTATTCTGGAAAGTGTTTTTTTTTTTTTTTTTTTAAATCAGGGATTGAACCCAAGAGTGCTAAACCACTGAGCTACATCCCAGCCCTTTGTACTTTTTATTTTGAGACCGGGTCTTGCTAATGTGCTTAGGGCACATTAAATTGCTGAGCCTGGCTTTGAACTTTGAATCCTCCTGCCCCAGCCTCCCAAACTGCTGTGGTTATAGGAGTGTGTCACCATGCCCAGTCCAGTCTGATCTTAACAGAAAAAAAAGACTGAATTTTCCTAAAAAGAAATTCTCTGGCCTAGTGTTCTTTAGACTTTAACTATAACATTGGTCCTTCTGTGGATCTTCAGCCTGCTGGCCTACCTGCAAATTTTGGACGTGTCAGCCACCATAAACCACATGAGCCAATTC